TCCAGAAAAACGAATGTCAAAAATGTTATAAATTGATTTGCATTTTAATGAGGGAAATAAGTATTTGACCCCTCTGCAAAACATGACTTAGTACTTGGTGGCAAAACCCTTGTTGGCAATCACAGAGGTCAGACGTTTCTTGTAGTTGGCCACCAGGTTTGCACACATCTCAGGAGGGATTTTGTCCCACTCCTCTTTGCAGATCTTCTCCAAGTCATTAAGGTTTCGAGGCTGACGTTTGGCAACTCGAACCTTCAGCTCCCTCCACAGATTTTCTATGGGATTAAGGTCTGGAGACTGGCTAGTCCAGTCCAGGACCTTCTTCTTGAGCCACTCCTTTGTTGCATTGGCCATGTGTTTTGGGTCATTGTCATGCTGGAATACCCATCCACGACCCCTTTTCAATGCCCTGGCTGAGGGAAGGAGGTTCTCACCCAAGATTTGATGGTACATGGCCCCGTCCATCGTCCCTTTGATGCGGTGAAGTTGTCCTGTCCCCTTAGCAGAAAAACACCCCCAAAGCATAATGTTTCCACCTCCATGTTTGACGGTGGGGATGGTGTTCTTGGGGTCATAGGCAGCATTCCTCCTCCTCCAAACACGGCGAGTTGAGTTGATGCCAAAGAGCTCGATTTTGGTCTCATCTGACCACAACACTTTCACCCAGTTCTCCTCTGAATCATTCAGATGTTCATTGGCAAACTTCAGACGGGCCTGTATGTGTGCTTTCTTGAGCAGGGGGACCTTGCGGGCGCTGCAGGATTTCAGTCCTTCACGGCGTAGTGTGTTACCAATTGTTTTCTTGGTGACTATGGTCCCAGCTGCCTTGAGATCATTGACAAGATCCTCCCGTGTAGTTCTGGGCTGATTCCTCACCGTTCTCATGATCATTGCAACTCCACGAGGTGAGATCTTGCATGGAACCCCAGGCCGAGGGAGATTGACAGCTATTTTGTGTTTCTTCCATTTGCGAATAATCGCACCTACTATTGTCACCTTCTCACCAAGCTGCTTGGCGATGGTCTTGTAGCCCATTCCAGCCTTGTGTAGGTCTACAATCATGTCCCTGACATCCTTGGAGAGCTCTTTGGTCTTGGCCATGGTGGAGAGTTTGGAATCTGATTGATTGATTGCTTCTGTGGACAGGTGTCTTTTATACAGGTAACAAGCTGAGATTAGGAGCACTCCCTTTAAGAGTGTGCTCCTAATCGCAGCTTATTACCTGTATAAAAGACACCTGGGAGCCAACAACTACAAGAAACGTCTGACCTCTGTGATTGCCAACAAGGGTTTTGCCACCAAGTACTAAGTCATGTTTTGCAGAGAGGTCAAATACTTATTTCCCTCATTAAAATGCAAATCAATTCATAAAATTTTTGACATGCATTATTTTTTATTATTTTGTTGTTATTCTGTCTCTCACTGTTCAAATAAACCTACCATTAAAATTATAGACTGATCATTTCTTTGTCAGTGGGCAAACGTACAAAATCAGCAGGGGATCAAATACTTTTTTCCCTCACTGTATATACACCTGTTCTGAAAGGCCCCAGAGTCTGCAACACCACTAAGCAAGGGGCACCACCAAACAAGTGGCACCATGAAGACCAAGGAGCTCGCCAAACAGGTCAGGGACAAAGTTGTGGAGAAGTACAGATCAGGGTTGGGTTATAAAAAAATATCTGAAACTTTGAACATCCCACAGAGCACCATTAAATCCATTATTAAAAAATGGAAGGAATATGGCACCACAACAAACCTGCCAAGAGAGGGCCGCCCACCAAAACTCACGGACCAGGCAAGGAGGGCATTAATCAGAGAGGCAACAAAGAGACCAAAGATAATCCTGAAGGAGCTGCAAAGCTCCACAGCAGAGATTGGAGTATCTGTCCATAGGACCACTTTAAGCCGTACACTCCACAGTGCTGGGCTTTACGGAAGAGTGGCCAGAAAAAAGCCATTGCTTAAAGAAAAAAATAAGCAAACACGTTTGGTGTTCGCCAAAGGCATGTGAGAGACTCCCCAAACATATGGAAAAACGGTACTCTGGTCAGATGAGACTAAAATGATGAGACTTTTTGGCCATCAAGGAAAACGCTATGTCTGGCGCAAACTCAACACCTTTCATCACTCCGTGAACACCATCCCCACAGTGAAGCATGGTGGTGGCAGCATCATGCTGTGGTGATGTTTTTCATCGGCAGGGACTGGGAAACTGGTCAGAATTGAAGGAATGATGGATTGCACTAAATACAGGGACTGGGACGTTGGTTCACCTTCCAGCAGGACAATGACCCTAAGCATATTGCTAAAGCAACACTCGAGTGGTTTAAGGGGAAACATTTAAATGTCTTGGAATGGCCTAGTCAAATCCCAGACCTCAATCCAATTATGAATAGTTATGCACGCTAAAGTTTTCTGTTTTTTTTTGGTCTTATTTCTTGTTTGTTTCACAACAACAAATATTTTGCATCTTCAAAGTGTTAGGCATATTGTGTAAATCAAAATTAAACAAACCCCCCAAAAATCTATTTTAATTCCAGGTTGTAAGGCAACAAAATAGGAAAAATGCCAAGGGGGGTGAATACTTTCGCAAGCCACTGTATTTAACGTCATGTAAAATGTATTTCAAATATATGTAGATACATTTGCATCTTTGCTCAAATTCATGTATGCCTGACAATATTCCAGAAATGCATGGCTATGACATCTAGTCTACAGGTTGGCCAAAAGGGGTTCCTAATTCGGCTTCTTAAATTACTCTTTTCGTATTGATCAATTGAGATAATTTTTCGGCCCACTAAGCCAAAACTTTGGCAGTGATATAATTTAAATTGTGATGGTGAGTAAAAAAAGGTTTGATTTCACCTAATTTTAACATTCTGTCATAAAGAACACATGTTCAACTTCATAAAAAACAAAATGTCCCATCTCGAGGTAGAAATGACTATAGTAAGTGTCTCTCTTCAGTTTAAATAATGAAAATAAATATGTTTAATCATTATTTATTTTTTTAATCAATTTAAACAAAAATTATACATTGTACAACACTCCACAATATGTCAAAGTGTAGGTCTAGGAAAATACATTTTAGTCATTTAGCAGACACTCTTATCCAGAGCGACTTACAGTTAGTGAGTGCATACTTTTTCTTTTTCCATACTGGCCCCCCGTGGGAATCGAACCCACAACCCTGGCGTTGCAAGCGCCATGCTCTACCAACTGAGCTACACTTGAATGTTAGTCCAACTGGTAATTTACTAGTTAAAATCAGCCATGAATCCCCTTGTGACAGGAGGAATGGAAGCTTGTTGTGTGCAACAGGGAGGGGCAAATGAATGAAAGATTCACAAAAATTGTAAAATTGTTAAAACATTTCTAGCCTGTCTATCTATGGGTGACGTGTTATGCTCGACCTGCTCAGTTTTTCACCACAAAACACCAGAAAATTGCCAAAAAGAGTAGAACCAGCTCGCCTGCTTTTACACTATGATTTGACTATTAGATGACCAATGTTACTTTTGATTAATTATTTTAAAAGGAATTGTTTCACCATATTAAAACGATAGTTCAGTTCATTTAACAGGGTTGACCTTTAAAATGAGGGAGTAATAAATTAATCACTAGTCACATGAAAAAAAAAAAAAGAGAATCTTCAGAATTTTTTTTGCCAAAGCAACGAAATAACAAGGCCTACAATGATGGTGAAAACATTGAGTATTTTGGGGGGGTTAGTGGGTTCAAATCTTCCTAGAAGTCACAGAAGGGACATGTCAAAATGAATTTTGCCACTTTGGCAAGTATTTATTCATATTGAAAAGATTTATGGAATTCTCCCTGTGGTCTATATTAAAGGCCACATCATTTCAAATAACAGGCTTTTAAAATGCAATATTGGTGCAGCATTTCTACTTAACATATCAAAAGGTACTCATTTCGTGGAACAACCCAGTGCTCGTTGGATGTTAGTTGCAATGCTCTCGTCAAGTTCGTTTGTTTATTTGTCATATATACATGAAATACATGGAGTCACTACATGACCGATAATTTATAATGTTTTGAGTCATTTTTTTAGTTATATAAATGTATTTAAAATGCATGGTAGTGCTTTTGGTATGTGTCATGTACAATAAAAATGCATTTTGACAAAATATGTTATATTCTAGCCAATGTCTTAAGTAGTTGAATATGTTATTACTCCAACCTCGTGAAACTCTCAAACTGACACGTTTTCACATTGGTCAAAAACAACTTTATATGGCTTTGGATAAAAGCGTCTGCTAAATGGCATATTATATTATTATATTATAAGGCGTGCCTTTGATTCTTAACGGCTTTCACATGCGCAGGCCGGCGTGAGCAGTGGTTAGATCGGATGACGTGTTTCTGCGCTTGAGCTAATGCTGCATTCATGTCCTTGTCGGAAATAGGACACTCGGCCATTTGCGACTTGTGCCGCGTTCTATTAGTTAGTAAGTCGGACATTTTCGAGTTTCCTTGTTCCAACTAGCATATGAACGCGGCATTTGATTGATCGGTTGAGGGACGAGCGACGCGGAGGAGTGACGTAGATGCTACGTCTCTTAGTAGATACTTACATCCGGGTGAGGGATTTGAGGTGAGTAGTGTTGGATGAACCACAATATTGAACTAAAATAGTATACTATTAAATTATTATGTAAAATGTTAGAACAATACACATTAACAAATGTTGTAATTGTTTAATGTAAACCTACTTATGTTTGCGAACTACATTTCTAATAGAATCGGCCTTGTCAGCTAGCTACATTAGCATAGCAAGTTAGCTAACAAGTTGTGAATTCCGGGTTTGTTTTGCCATTTTATTTATGTTATTTTATTTGTTATTTGTAGTTCGTTTGTCAATTTATACGTTTTTCTTAGATTCTGTAGCTATTTGTTTGATTATCTGGAAAGGTTCTTGGTTTGCAGGTCCACAACGATATCAAATTACCAGTATCGCCACCCTTCCATCAGCCAAGATGTGCAGCTATCACGGTACAATCAGACTGTTGATGCAGGTGCTTTGGGCCCACCTGCTCTGTGGATGGGCGTTTGGCTCTGAGCTTACATTTGAGCTTCCGGATAACGCAAAACAGTGTTTCTATGAAGATATCACCGTTGGCACCAAGTGTACACTTGAGTTCCAGGTAAGTTAATTGAGGCCCTCACATTATTACATTACATTTACATTTTAGTCATTTAGCAGATGCTCTTATCCAGAGCGACTTACAGGAGCAATTAGGGTTAAGTGCCTTGCTCAAGGGCACATCGGCAGATTTTTCACCTAGTCGGCTCGGGGATTAGAACCAGCAACCTTTCGGTTACTGGGACAACGCTCTTAACCACTAAGCGACCTGCCGCCCACTACACCACACGCTACACCACACGACATGGAGTTATGGGAATGATTATTGCTAATAATTCCACTACTATGGGACCAAGTTGTATATTGAAATGGATAGGCTGTATTTTAAACAACATATTTTCTGTCCAGGTTGTCACTGGTGGGCATTACGATGTTGACTGTCGTCTGGAGGATGCAGATGGTACTGTTCTTTACAAAGAAATGAAGAAGCAGTATGACAGCTTTACATTCACGGCTGCCAAGAACGGAACATACAAGTTCTGCTTCAGCAATGAGTTTTCCACCTTCACGCACAAGACCGTCTACTTCGATTTCCAAGTTGGAGAGGATCCCCCACTTTTCCCCAATGAGAACAGGGTCACTGCTTTAACTCAGGTAGGTCTGTTAAAAGGAATATTGTTGAGAGGTGCTCTTCTATGCGGTATTGAATATGGTATTTCAATCAAAATTAAAACAATTGGTTATTTCTCTACAACAGTATGAAATGCCATTGGATTTCAGTGGGCCCCATTAGGCGAAGATGTCATGGAAAGAATAGTGTGCATTTACATGGACAAACATTGTTGGTTATTTGCCGTTCTTGCGTGTTAATGCAAGGATCTTGTATGGATCTTTAAACTCGAAATACCTCTGTTTCAGATGGAGTCTGCCTGCGTGTCCATTCATGAGGCCCTGAAATCGGTCATTGACTATCAGACACATTTCCGTCTGCGGGAGGGTCAGGGACGCAGCCGTGCCGAGGACCTCAACACAAGAGTGGCTTTCTGGTCCATTGGAGAGGCTTTCATTTTGCTGGTGGTCAGCATCAGCCAGGTAGTTTTGCTGAGGAGCTTCTTTTCTGACAGGAAGACCACCACGACGCGTGTTGGATCCTAACGTCCCACAGCATCTCATCCCAGTCACTTCCACAAGGGACTTCAGATACAACAACAACAACAACAACAACAACAACAACAACAACAACAGTTCATGGCAGATTTGTTTTGTTTTTTAGATGCCATTCACAGAATTTGAATTTTTAAGATACGTTCAGGTTTTGAAGTTACTTTTAACAAACCCAGTGGATTGTGTAAATGAAATCTATCAAATATTGGAAATGTATTTATTATGTGGGTGCATATTGTCATTGTTTTCCTGAATGTATGAACATACTGGTAGCCTGTCTTGCAGTTCTAAGTTGAGACCTACTTGATACATTACATAATAGTTGCAGAATTTAATTTCACACAGTTCTCACTTCCTCCTTAGTAATGGCTCAATTCAAACTTTGTTGTGATATCAAACAAATCAAAATAACTGATGGAGACAATTGGTAAGCATATTCTTTGTTTTTTATTTGAGATTCCACTCGTCAACATGGCTTGTGGCCAGCAGAGGTTGTGTTTTGGGTGGATGGGCTTTGACTAGGTGCATTTTCAGGAGTTCAACCATCTCCTTATTGTAACTGGTGTTTTGTTCTTGGTGTATATGGTTAAAACAGATAAAAATGAAGCTGGTGTAAGCACATTAATTTCTTTTATATTATTAATTTCTTCAATGGTGTGGTCTTTTTATTTTTGGTTTGCGTACTGTTCATTATTATTTCTACACAGTCATCAGTGTGTTGGCACTCCAAGGAATTGTTTCCTTATTTGAATAGCTGAATAAACATTTTCTGGGAAACCCATTTTCTGACCTTAAATAATCAATTGAACAGCATCTATATCCAGGACTTAGATGTATAGTCCCGTGTAGCTCAGTTGGTAGAGCATGGCGTTTGCAACGCCAGGGTTGTGGGTTCGTTTCCCACGGGGGACCAGTATGAAAGAAAAGAAAAATGTATGCACTCTGGATAAGAGCGTCTGCTAAAGGACTAAAATGTATATTGCGCTGCAGAATAGTTCACAATAACATTTTTTTAGAGAGCTCTTTCATCAGAGAGTATCAGGAATAGCTGATACATTAAAATCCACTCATTGCTCAGGTCTCTGATGATCAAAAAGTATTACATTTTGTTCTCTACAAAGGAGGCAGCTTGTGGGTCATGTACACCTGGAAACATCACGAAAGGTGTGGTTGTAAGCAACACTGAAAAATGCGTCAGGAGGGTGTGGTTGAAATATTAGTTACGTTGTTGTTGCCTAGTGATGTTTTTGAAGAACTGCAGAAAGCATTCAACTATATCTGAAATTGATCTTGATTCTATACACTTGGTGCTTGCTGATCTAATAAATGATCACAGAAAAAAACATGATACTCTGTACTTAGTTCACGAAACCTCCAGGAGGTGGCAGTAGCATAGAATGAAAAAAATTAATACATACAATACAATCTCTCCATCTGTCTGTAAGGACATGGAAATATGTCATTATTAGTTTATTACAGTTTTATTCACAGATTACAACTTTATTCACACAAACTACAAAATTGAATTGAAATCTTGCTCAACCACCTAATAATAAAATGTATGAGGAAGTCTGACCCTTTAACTGGGTCGTCACAAGTTACCACAGCCACAAAAGTCAATTATGGCTAAACCCCGCCTATTTCTACAATTAACTTAAAATCACATTTTAAACATAACGTTAACCCTAACCAAACTGCTAGCCTTATGCCTAACCCTAACTTTGAATTACATTTTACGATATAGCCAATTTTGACTTTGTGGCTGTGGTAACTACTGACAACCCCTTAACTGCTTTTGCGTAAGCGAATACCAACTCTGTGATTGGATGTTTTCCTTGTCAATAAATTGGGAGTTGCAAAAAGACGGCATCGTTTTCGATTTGACTGAAGTGTATTCTGGGTATTGAGTCGTGATAAATGGTGTAGTAGTGGGTGGACAAATCTGCCCCCTCAAGAACAGTGTAGAAAAATGACCATAGTAGATTTTCTTGTGTTATTTCATCTGGAAAACGTTTAACGTTCGGGCAAGATTTATGACTCTACAAGCTGGTCAACAACGAAGAAAAGGAAAACGCATCTCAACGTTCTTCGGCTGTTGGACAACGTTGACCAGTTTAGCTTCACGTACAGGAAATAACAAGTGGGGGTGGATGTTGGCGTTCTCTGGGCCTCGCCGTAGTTCTTGATATTTTAACTGGATAGCTACATCCTCTACCTATGTCTACTTACACATGGTTCTGTCTGAAAATGACATACAGAATTAAAGCTAATCAAAAAAGACTGCTTGATGGAATAGAAAAGGACATCGGACGGCGTAACGACGTTGGACACTCGGAAGAGTAACTAGTTAGATTGCAGCTGGTATCAATATTGTTGTTGGTGAACAGTACTACAGCTAGCTAGCCAGCCAATTGAGGAAGTGATATTTCCGTCGTTAACAAGCCAGTGTTAACTCTCAATTGAAGAGAGGGGAAAACAGAACAACAAGCCAATGTTAACAAATACGTTTCTCAGTAGCTAGCTGGCTGATTTCTGCCTTCCATTTCGCTAGTTAATTTAGCTAGCAAGCTCAACATATTCCAGGCTAGCTAGCGCCACAAACAAAGGCTTCTGCTCAACACCTGCCACGGACTATTATCTAGTCGACGCTCCTGTCTTTTTAATCAACTGTGTATCCCGTGAAGGAAGCTGAACCAATGGATTTACAAACGGCCGTTTTCAATGCAGCCAGAGATGGCAAGCTACGGTTGCTTCAGAAACTTTTGGAGAACAAAATTGGCCACGAGGTTACCAAATTAATGGCAGAGAAAACAAACGGGGCGACCCCTTTGCTTATGGCTGCCAGATACGGACACCTGGATTTAGTGGAGTATCTAATGGAGTGTTGCTGCGCACCCGTTGAGATTGGGGGGTCAGTGAATTTTGATGGTGAGACTATTGAGGGTGCCCCCCCTTTATGGGCTGCCTCAGCAGCAGGACACCTGAAAGTCGTGCAATCTTTACTTGGCCACGGTGCTTCTGTGAACAATACAACACTCACCAATTCCACCCCCCTGAGAGCAGCCTGCTTCGATGGACATCTGGACATTGTGAAATACCTGGTGGAACACAAGGCAGACCTGGAGGTGGCAAACAGACACGGTCACACATGCCTCATGATTTCGTGTTACAAAGGACACAAGGACATTGCCCAGTATCTCTTGGAGAAAGGCGCCGACGTTAACAGGAAAAGTGTTAAAGGTGAGCACATTCATACGTGTGTTACTTTTCCTGTATTGTATATCCTGGGCCTACCTGAGCAACGAGGTTAGACCTAGTACCTGGCAGGTGCATTGCGCTGTGATTGTCTTCATAAGATCAAAACCAAAACGTTGAAACATTCACAGTAATTTGCAGATCAGATTGGTCTTGATACAATTTGCCTTCCCAAACCTATACACTTTCATGCTGTTTTTCAGACTGTCTCAAGGTAAATCCATGCAGGTCTCACGTTTTATTGTCATGAATCTTGCCCTGGAGGCAGAACTGAGCTATTTCCGCCCCCCATTATTATCACTGGTCATCGGACATGACGATGACATTAATATATGCTAAATAGTTGACTAGCAAGAGAGCCAATTCAAAACATATCGTAGTTTGGCTGGTTATCTAGTTAGTCTGTTTATTATTTTACCTGCTGCACAAATCTCTCTCTGATCCAATTCTGATCTGAGTAGCCTGCCCAATTGTTTGATATAGTGATTTTTTTATTATTACATTTTTGTACTTGTCCATTCAGACAACTGAAATCTATATTTTGTTTGTCCAACAATTTGATTTACTTGCCCAGAGCAAGCGGACAAGTAACCACTATGCAGTTCTGCCTCCAGGGCAAGATTCAGGACAAATGCTTACCTGCTTAATCCTCACATTTGGACATCTAATGAGGTCACCTAACAAGCTGGTTTAATTTGTATTTAAACCAATTAGGGGAAGTGAACCCACCCAGGCCTGTTCTAAATTTAAGCCTTGCAACTGCCCACTCACAAGATCTATTACGATCCATGAGATTTGCACCCCCTTGGCAGACGCTTAGATTGGCACATTGCGGACATCACCCTGAGGTTTCTCCTAGTGAGAAAAGGTTACAGGCAAGCATGTGACAAACACATTTAGTTGAAATGTAGCAATTTGAACATTTTGATCAACCTTTTTTTGTCTCTTCACTTCATCTTCTACTTTCAAATAACTTGCATATATATTGTTGTTTATTGCTAGAATGTCTGCCAAAAATTACATTTTGCAAAACACATGAATTTGTATTTATTTCTTCATAGGTAACACAGCATTACATGACTGTGCTGAATCCGGCAGCTTGGAGATAATGACGATGCTGCTAAAATATGGTGCCGCCATGGAGAGGGATGGTTATGGAATGACCCCACTGCTGTCTGCGAGTGTGACAGGCCACACTAACATTGTTGACTATCTGACTCAACACCAGCAAACACACCAATTGGAGAGAATAAACGCCCTGGAACTGCTTGGTGCCACTTTTGTGGACAAAAAGAGGGATCTTCTTGGGGCGTTAAAGTACTGGAAGAGGGCCATGGACCTGAGATACAGGGACGGCAACAATATTCTCTACAAAGCAGACCCAAAGCAGTTGATCATGGCCTATGACCATGCCAGGGAGGTAAGTAATGGGGAGGAACTAGACAGCCTGATCTCAGAACCAGATGAGATGAGGATGCAGGCCCTGCTCATTAGAGAGCGCATCCTGGGCCCCTCCCACCCCGACACCTCTTACTATATCCGCTACCGGGGCGCTGTATACGCCGACTCAGGGAACTTTGAGCGCTGTATCAACCTGTGGAAGTACGCCCTGGACATGCAGCAGAGCAACCTGGACCCCCTCAGCCCCATGACAGCCAGCAGCCTGCTGTCCTTCGCTGAGCTCTTCTCCTTCATGCTCCAGGACCGCGCCAAAGGCCTGCTGGGCACCTCGGTCTCCTTCGATGACCTCATGGGCATCCTCAGTAAGAGTGTGCTGGAGATTGAGCGGGCGGTGAAACAGACCCAGCCTGACCCGGCTCAGCTCAGCAAGGCCCTCTCCATCATCCTGCATCTCATCTGCCTGCTGGAAAAGGTCCCCTGCACCGTGGAGCAGGACCACTTTAAGAAGGAGACCATCTACAGGTTCCTCAAGCTGCAGCCCTGCGGTAAGAACGGTTACAGCCCGCTCCACCTGGCCGTGGACAGGAACACCACCTGCGTGGGCCGCTACCCTGTCTGTAAGTTCCCCTCTTTATACGTCACCTCTATCCTACTGGAGTGTGGGGCGGACGTCAACTTCCGCGACGAGGACAACAACAGCCCCCTGCATGTGGCCGCCTCCAACAACCACCCGGACATCATGAACCTGCTGATCGCCTGCGGCACGCACTTTGACAGCACCAACTCCCTGAAGCAGATGGCCTGTGATCTGTTGGATGAGAAGGAGATGGCCAAGAACCTGATCCAGCCCATCAACCACACCACCCTGCAGTGTCTCGCTGCGCGGGCTATCATCAAGCACAGCCTCTCCTACAGAGGCAACATCCCAGAGAAGCTGGAGGCTTTTGTGCTTCTCCACAGATAATGACTATTAAAGACGTGTGAGTGCAGTGCGATCCTACTCTCCCCATGTGCACTCTTTGGATTGTATTGAAGTCGATGATTAACATTGTGTGAAGAACTTCGCTTTTTTTCCCCCTACAACGCCAGAGTTAAAGCTCTGTGGGGATTTTTGTAATATGGGCATGCACAATATTTTGAACCGAGCTAGTTTTTTGCTTACTAATCATTTCCACAATTCCATGCTATTTATTAAGATATCATTGAGAGATTTTTTCTGTGCCCCTCCAATTTGTGTGTTTCTCTCTCTGCAAAGATGGAGGAATATGTTGGGAGTCATTTTTACATCACCATGGTTCCAATTCTGACCTCTTTAATTAATTGGTCTTTTGATCAATCAGATCAGCTCTGAAAAAGATCTGATGGGATTGATCAAAAGACCAAATAGTGGAAAAAATGTCAGAATTGGTCTGCCTGTGCAAACGCAGCCAATGTTGCCAATATATGGACCCTCTACGTTTCATTGTGCATTCTTTATGCTCTCATTCAATGGTAATGTTTTCACGGTTTTGGATCTGCAGAGTTGAGTAATGGAATGGACTCATTTCTCTGTCAAAACCATAAAGACGCTTCATGAAGTGGTAATGTTTGCAAATACCATAAGTGCTTTATTCCTCCTATGCACAGGCTATGATATGCGACTGTTCTGTGCAATATCTTGCATTTTTTGTGGTAACTGCCTGTTCCTTCATCTTTCCCTAATTTGTTACACTAAGCAGAGGGATGTGATGTGACAATTGCTGAATGCTGTTAGTGGTGGGGTTGGGTGATTTCATGTATTAACTGGTGAAGTAATTGAGTGCAGAAGTTGAGTAGGAATGTATGCAACCTTCATATCATTGACGTTTGAACCTGATTCTTCTATGGTGATTCGAGCACTAAAGCAAGATGGTTAGTTGGATACTAATATGACCCTGCATGTAGTCAGAATTCACGGGAAACCCCTCGACATCTGGGTTTTGAATGGCATGTCATTCAATTATTGCATAAACTCTGTAGAACATTGACGAACCCAAACGTGTAACTTTTATATTTGTCCAATTGTATTATAATTGGAAAGAGGGAAGGCCTTGTACAGTGTCTCTGAGCTTTGTGAAAACCTTGCACATTAGCTTTATTCGTGTGGTTAAAAAAAAGGGCTTAATTTAATATTTTTAGGAATAGATTTGGCTAAGTACAGAACCATACAAAGAAACCATACCAGGGAACTTGCTTTAATTCTGCACTTTATTACAGACTAAGATTTCCAATGACAAAATTACAATAATCAATTTCATGTCTTAAGAACCAATTTGACAATAAACCCATGTTGCACTTGTCCTCTTTTTCCCAGTGTTTTCATTCAGCCCCAAGTAGCAATGCAACAGGATTACATTTTTCTCTGTAGTGACTCTCCTGCACACACCTATTCCCCAGCACTTTAAAATGTCGTACAGTTACTGGATGTGCTTTTGTGGATGAGTAATGGGGTGAGGAATGCCTGTAGCCAGTAGGGTGGATACTCTTGATCGATCACAGTAGGCCTGTCTAGTTGGCCATGGTGCTTGAACAAAGACTTGTGTTGGTTATGTTATTGTTTCTCTTTTGTACAAAACATGGTCAAGACCAACTTTAGTTTCTTTGTCGTAATATCTTTGAACTTTTCTCAACTCGGTAGCCTAGCTCTTGTCTGGAAAGTCATTTAAAACTTAAACGAGGGTACAGGATGTTTGCTTGAGCATGTTCATTCTGTCTGTAGTTTGTCAAGCATGAGAGTAAATTGTATAGTTTTTATTTCTTCTGAGAAATAGCCTAGTTTTATGGTCACACATTTTAGGTTTTATTTTCATTGCAATACTTTGGATGCTTATTTTTTTTCACCACTAAAAGGACTTTGCACACCCATTGAACCCAACCCTTTTAAAACTATTTTCTTCAATGGACTACACACAGTGTCCTTTTTGGCATTTGACGCTCAGCCTACTTCTGTCGGGTCTTAAAATAATGTGCCTTAGAATAATGCCCCACTGAAAACATGTCCTAGATAAGGGCTCACTCCAATGTCTCCCTGCAGGTGTTCCAGTCAGTACCCATATAACAGGCTGAAGGAAGATGGCACTCCCTAAATGAGACCAGGGCCTGTATCCACAAGACAACTCCCAGCTCAGAGTATGTTTTTAGAATGCTGTTAAGACACTGCCCAGACAAACTGAGCAAGGAGGAAAATTATTTGTACGTGTTATTGAGTTTCAAAGGGATAACTTGAAATAACGTGTTATTTCAGTAATTATTAGACTATGTGGTTAAGTATTTAGGCATGTCATGTAAAATAGGGTACCTGTGAAATCATTTTCAAAAGATTTGTGATTTTATTTAAGGGTTTCAAATGTTTTCAGAAGATGGGCAGGAACTCTGCTGTCCTGACGTTGGGGGGAAGCTCGTTCCACTCCGTTAGGGTGCCAGGACAGAGAAGTGCTCAGGTTGGGGTGTAGGGTTTGAGCAGTTTAGGGAGGGGCAGTTCCCCTTGCTGCTCCGTAGCCAATCACCATGGTCTTGTAGTGGATGCGACCTTCGACTGGAAGCCAGTGGAGTGTGCGGAGGAGCGGGGTGACATGGGAGAACTTGTGAAGGTTGAACACCAGGCAGGCTGTGGTATTCTGGATAAGTTGCAGGGGTTTGCTGGCACAAGCAGGGAGCCCAACCAACATAGTTGCAGTAGTTTGACAGGAGATGACAAGTGCCATTAGGACCTGCGCCGCTTCCTGTGTGTGGAAGGGTGGTACTCTAATGAAATTCCCTTTACCGCGTATGGGAGCTCTTTACTTGTCTAGTAAAGTGTTGGGATTTGTCATTAGTATCGGCCGATGTGAAAAATGAGTCTCCATTGTAAAATTTGGACTACAGTTTACTATTGAATACTATATTACCTAGTATATAATTGTATAGTATTCTGTAGAATACTGTACCACACTGTAGTATCCCTTGATCGTGTAGTGCTTACTATATAATTTGTAGTATACTGGAGAATTCTATACTACACACTAGTATCCTTGATTGTGTAGTGCTTACTATAGAATTTTGTACCATACTGTAGAATACTATATTAAATACTACAGTATTATCCGCAAATAACACTGTAGTAAATACTACAGTAATGTACGCAAAAACACTACTTTTTTAAGCTATATTATGTCATTTGCATATGCTCCACCTATTCCCACCCCCCATATCCCAATTTGTGCCCTGCATGAGTGAGAAACCTACATGCCAAGTATAGACCATATATTGTGTTCCCTATAGGTTATAGGAAAGAGCTGAAGCGCTGAACTGTCTTTTCAGACTCCCAGCCTGGTCTCATAGACTAGATGTATCATAGTAAAGGTAAATCCAGGACATTCAGATTAGTATGATATGTTACGTTTGGTATGGTTACATAAGACCGATGGCTACTTAAGGCAAAAACGCCCAGTAGATTTCCTCACGGAAAAAGACCCCACTTCTATGTCAAAGATGATACATTTAAAGACTCTACAGTGATATCTGCAAAAACCCAGTAATTACTATAGTATTTTTAAAAAAAAAGTTTGTACTATAGTAATACTACAATATTTGTACTGTAGTAAATTCTACTACAGTGTATAGTCATGTCCACAAAAACACTACAGTGAATACTATGGTATACTACATTCATGACCGCAAAAACACGAAATTAAATAGTTTATAAATATAGTAATACTACAGTATTTAGAGCATAGTATACGCTAGTATTTTTTCATATGGGTGCAGGTGCTATGACAGCCGTATAACAAACAGGATACACTTCTATAAGCAACTAGAGAAAATATTATAGTGCTTCATCTGTGAATAGTAATGAAAATGGTAAACTTCCACTGTATTTATCTCTGAACATACTTATTTTCTGAGACTAGCTTTTAAAGATTCACTTATGTTGAATTGTTATCAATAAGGAGAGACAGAACCATTAGACGAAGAAAGCATGACCTATTTAAGATCCCTCCCCAGAGCTTAGAATTGAGAGGGTAATAACATGGGAAACTCTGGGTACGAGGGGCACATGTGGAACAGAATGTCAACAGACCATTAAAGCGGGACCTCAGCTAAGCTTTCACTGGGAAATAGACGGGCGGGGGACACTTGAGCAGGCAGGCACCAATCTTCCTAACTACCACTGTGCAACGGCTCACCCCACTGAGTCAACTGTGAAAACAACAGGGCATATTTATAGGAAGAGGTGGCATGATTACACCAATGCCATTTCAGAGCTATTCTAGTCTTCCTCTGGGCAGCAAGTGCAGTACCCTTGCTAGTTCTTTTATGGTGTTAGTGGGAGATTAATGCCAAGAGTGTGCAAAGCTGTCATCAAGGCAAAGGGTGGCTACTTTGAAGAATCTCAAATATAAAATATATTCTGATTTGTTGAACACTTATTTGGTTACTACATGATTTCATATGTGTTATTTCATAGTTTTGATGTCTTCACTATTATTCTACAATGTAGAAAATAGTAAAAACAAAGAAAAACCCTTGAATGAGTAGGTGTGTCCAAACTTTTGACTGGTAGTGTACATCGCTATGCCCTAGTTTGTCTTTTCCAGGACTGTCTGTGATTCATATTTTTTGATCCAGTGAGAATCCAGAACAAGAGAGGGGAGTGTATATTAGGTCAAGCTAGTCACTGTGCTGTGAATAGTAGTATTTCCCTCTCACTGATCTGAGAGATGGGGCTCTCTTGTGTCTACAGTGACATGGGGGAACAGCTGTTAGCTTAGCATTGGGGTGCTGTTTGCTATCTCTGCTTAGGCCCAGTTCACTTTCCTGGCATGGATGCTTGAGCCCCTGGATTTATGTGGTAGTGTGCATTACCCATGATTAGTCTCTACATTGCAACCTCCAGTCCTCAGGTTTCTATAATCCCCACCATCTGCCTTTTTCAACAGGGCCTTTTTAGGCTGTCCCATAATAACTAATACTATAGCTCTAAATACTGTAGTATTACTATATTTATATACTATAGTGTTTTTTGTTTTATTATCTGTGAGATGAGGGCAGTGGGAAGGTAGGCCCCTAAATGGCCGGTAATCCAACAAAGAAGACAAGTAGGCAGCCAGTATGTTGCAATAAACATTAGTGAACTATTAACATAAAATATTTACAAAATAATACAAACAGGAGCAGCTCTGCATAGTACATGAGGCCTTCCTCAGGCAGCGTTGAGCTGCTCCTATATGTATTCTTGTTTAAGTATTTCCTGTTAATATTATCTTTGACATAGAAGTGTGGGCTTTCTGCTTGAAGACACCTACTAGGGAAATACTAAGCAAAATGTCCATAACCTGTAGGTAGGTCAATTTATTTGGTTGTTCCAAAATGTTACAATTTCAAATCAATTTGGTTAAAATTCTAAAACAATAAACAATAAGTAATCAATCCAACTTAAGCTAATCAAATCAAAAGAAAAACAACAAGAAAAAAATCCTAAAATGAATAATCAGTCTATCAATTAGTTAGTCAGTCAGTCATGGTTGTTCTGGTGGAGTGGTTGAGTGTCTTTGTGTTGGGGGAGTGGAAGCGGTGTGGTCTGGACTGGCAGTTGCTGGATGGAGGTGGTAGTTGTGGTTGGTCAGTGCTGTGTCCAGGGTTGGTGCTGGTGTTGGGGCTGGGACCAGGAAAACCTGGGTTGGTGTTGGGGCCAGGTTGGAAATCATGCTGTTACCAGGGCTGGAAATCAGGGGTTGGTGCTGGGTCTGTTGCTGGGACTGGGGACCTGGGAAAAACAGGAACCAGGACCCGGGAACTGGGGCTGGTGCTGGGTCGGGATCTGTAGAGTGGAGGAAGGACAACCTGAGAAGCAAGTAGACACACAAGGGAGCTTTAGACCCAGAGGTCAATGGTGGTACTTCCCTGTGGCCTGCTTGCTCCAGGTGAAGGTCTAGGTTTTGGTCCCTCCTCCGCGCCACTTCCGGTGTGGTGATGAATGGTTCCTGGTTCTGGTTCTGTGAGAGGGTAAGTGTAGAAGGAGGAAGGGGTAAAGGGATGGAGAGGGAGAGGGAGCGGGAGGTGGAGGTGAAGGTGGGTATGTCCATTTGCCTGGGCTGGTGTTGGAGGAGGAGCGATGAGGCGGCAAGCCTGGACGATGGAGGCTGGAAGACAGAGGGAGCAAACAGCGGGTCTAGGTTTGATCATTGCGGAGGTGGATGAGCGCCTCCAGGGGGTCGTTTGTGTTGTTGGGTGGTTCTTGGCTGTTCACAGGTCTTGACCCACTGACTGACTGGTGGCCCCCTGTACTGGTGGTGGACTGGGGGGTGTGAAGGGTCTGGACTGAGGCTGTAGGTAGGTAGGACTGGGGTCTGAATGGATAGTTCAGAGCTTCTGCTCTTTTCTATAACCTGTAGGGAACACACTATATGGTCTATACTCACTTATGGGTGGCACAAATTGGGATATGGGAATGGGTGGAGTATATGCAAATTAAATACTGTAGTATTACTATAGTAAATCTAGTATATACTATACTACTTACTGTAGTGTTTTTGCAGACATTACTGTAGTATTTACTAAAGTTTGTATTTATTTATTATTATCCTTGAGGAAACCTACTGGGCAAATACTAAGAGAAAATTTTCCATGTTCTGTAGAACTGGCATCTGAACAGATAGTTCTGTGCTTCTGCTCTTTTCTATAACCTGTAGGGAACACAATATATGGTTAATAATTGGCATGTAGGTTTCTCACTCATGAGTGGCACAAATTGGGATATGGGGGATGTGAATGGGTGGAGCATATGCAAATTAAATAATGTAGTATTACTATAGTTTAAAAAACATAGTGTTTTTGCGTATAATACTGTAGTATTTAATATAGTATTTACCAGTATACTACAAAAGTATATAGTAAGTACTACACATGATTGAGGGATACTACAGAGTGTAGTATAGTATTCTACAGTATACAAATCAAATTTTATTGGTTGCATAAACATATTTAGCAGATGTTAATGCAGGTGTAGCGAAATGCTTGTCAGGAGCCATGAACAGGGCTATCGGTGCCATACTACAGTTAACTTCAGAATACTATACAATTCTACAGTAAGTACCATAGTATTCTATAGCAAACTGTAGTATTTTTTTAAAATGTGGGTTCAACCTCTCTTTTCACACGTGCAACATGTCTCCTAATATATTCAGTGGAATGGACCTGGTCCCAGATCTGTTGGTGCTCTTGCCTACTCTTGTCATTGTCAAGCCAAACAGTATTACTTGTATGTGCTGTGAATAGCAATTCAGCTTTTTGCTGCCAAGTACGGCCTACATGTAGTAGTAATAATAATAATAATAATAATAAACTACTACTAACTAAAAATTAAATTCATTTCTAATTAGGAGTTGGCAAAAGAGCAGAAACAGACTTGTAACCAGGCCACTGGACTGATGCATCACAAACACATGCCATGAGTCATGGTGCTTTCCTGCTAATAACAAAAGGACTCATACATCACACAAGAAAACAGGCAGAGAAACTTGGCAAGGGAGTGAGCAGAGACCAATGCCATGCCATCCAGCAAGGTGTTTCACTCAGAACTATTTCCTCTGAGAAATTCGAGGAATGCTATTTATAACTTTAGTGTAGTAGTACTGCATTAAAGGGGAAGAGGTTAATTTATTTTAATGTCAGAAATAATCTTATCATCAAGAGGTGTGCAGAGAGGAAATATTTTGTTTACTATTAGTCCTTCCACATGTACTAATACATGTGGTACTAATACATGTGGTACTAATACATGTGGTAGTAATACTTGTGGTACTAATACATGTGGTAGTTATACATGTGGTACTAATACATGTGGTAGTAATACTTGTGGTACTAATACATGTGGTACTAATACTTGTGGTACTAATACTTGTGGTACTAATACATGTGGTACTAATACATGTGGTAGTAATACATGTGGTAGTAATACTTGTGGTAGTAATACATGTGGTAGTAATACATGTGGTAGTAATACATGTGGTAGTAATACATGTGGTACTAATACATGTGGTAGTAATACTTGTGGTAGTAATACATATGGTAGTAATACTTGTGGTACTAATACTTGTGGTACTAATACATGTGGTAGTAATACTTGTGGTACTAATACATGTGGTACTAATACTTGTGGTACTAATACTTGTGGTACTAATGCTTGACCTACTTTATGCATGTGTTTGTGCTATCAATTGCCATTTAAATTGGTATCATTTTCCTTGGAGTGATGTTGTTGTAGGCTGCAAAGTTACTGACCTTTGAAGAAACCAAAAGGCGTGCTATCAGTAACAAATGAATTTAGCGGATACATGCTTAATACAGATTATCCATTGATGTCATATGACAAGTCAGGCTGCAAAATTGAATTGAGTCTGGACAGCCACTTTTTTTTATAAACAAAAGGTTGAATATCCAGTGTAGCCAAAGTCTGTGGACTAGTTTTATGTAGCTCTCTATGTCCACATTGAATTGTCAACCACTTTGTTTGACATGTTAATGAGACAACAAGAGAGGAGGACATAATATAGTATGTTGGCCTCATAAAAGTTAACAGAACTGTCTGTAACATAGCTGAGGTAGGGAGGTCAGGTCATGGCCTAAACGTTTAGTCAGCATTTGTAGTGCCCAACAAGTGAAGCCGTATGGCAAGTGACAACAACCCTGTGCTTGAGTGGCATGCCTACTATGAGCTAATTTCACAGCTCACACAGGTAGCTATGGAATACTATCACTCCTACAGAGCAGGCCTCACACTCTCCAACATACAAGGGTAGAGTTGACTGAAGCCATGCTTGTGTTGCATTCTAGGACACAAATATCCTTCTGAGAAAAACAGACCATGTGATTTCAAAAAAAGTTTGTATTTCTGAATCTTTTTATTAGGTCAACAACAGCCATGGCAAATTAAATACATGTATTACTTCTCCAGTCGTCATAAAGGCCATGGAGGGAAGACACTGTCAGAGGTGGAAAGCAACGAATTACAACTTTTACCTGAGCCGTTTTTTACACCAGTAGTTTTACTTCTAGTGGGATTTCATTAAAGTAACAGTACTTACACTTGTGTAGGATATTTCAATACTCGTTCCACCCCTGGACACTGTGTTTGCTTATAATGTGCTGTATGTGCAGTGCTTGACTTGGACAGGAACACACCAGTTTGTTTTCTACTGCTAGTGTTCTGTCACCTCTTATAGAATATTGGCTATATTCTGGCACCTAAATATGTACAGTACTCTATGGCACCCAGAAAGAGTACCGCCACCAATTTCAGACCACTTCAAGCGCTTTGTATGTGTACAAAGCAGTGATATTTTGTGGTGACAAATACCTGCATAGGACTGTGTTTCACCAAGGAGGTAGACAGAAGAAGTAAACACTGTACAAACCAATGTGAGATGATCCAATGCAAATTCCTATTGAAATATATGGCTCTCGTTTCACCTAGTCAACCCAGCTTGTGCCATGTGTTTCTATACTGAGCTCAGTTAACAACAAACAACAAATACATTGCTACATGTGTTACATTCACACCTTTGAATAGTTGCGACATGAAAACCCTTGTACCATCCCGTATCAATACACAAAACAGACCTTACTTTTTATCCATAACTGGAAACAAAGCTTCAGCTAACTGACAACCACACGTTTTTTTGTTGTTGCAATTGTGACCTCAACATTGTTTCTTGATACCAGTGATTCTAATGTTAAATTGCAGTAAATCTGAGCCAGAGATTACTTTCTATCCATTACATGAGGTATTTATAATTATGGTGAAGTATCCCTTTAAAGACATGACAGAGACCCAATTGTCTGTCTAAAACGACCCACTTCCTGTCTATTATAAAAATGTGATCCTCAGGGAACATACTTTAATCTTAGCATTGTCTTGTGCTGGATCTGTTTTTCAACTTTATTGTTGGACAAAGTTAGATTGACCTCTCATCAGATTTTATTTCTGTACTACAATTTGATATTTTAAGATTGTTAATCATCATACCAGCACACAAAAATCCCTGAAATCAAGTCAAGAGTAGGAGAGGTAGGTAAAGGTAAGTAGCATGTCTTCTCACACAGCAGAGAATAAGGGGAGGAGTCACACTAGGTTACTGGGCATGTGAGGTTAGTGAACCACATAGTGGGAGAGTTGGAGGGTAGCTAAGCACAGAGGGAAAGACACTTAGAGCGATCACTTTCCCACTTGTCCCAGGTTCACCCAAAGCTCAAACCTTTACACCCTCACTGAGTCTCTGGCTGGAGTTACGAACATGGCCAAACTCAAGACAATGTCAGCTCAGGTTTCTCTCATGGGACACCAGCAGCAGTGGTCAGCTGTCAGAAGGTTTTACTATGCCTGCTGTGTGTGTTTGTAATCAACCAGAAGGTAGTTGAAAACAAGCTGCACCCATAAGAGTCAAAATTACACTGATACACACAGACCAGTCATCGGTACATATATCTAACTCACTTCTGAAGGACGGAGACGTGCTACGCAACTTGTCAATATGTTAGTCAGAATATCTTACAATAAAACTATTGGTTTTACACTATGTCATCTGTCTATGATAATTACTATTGTGAAATGACAGTCCAAGTCCTGATATGACCTATTGCATACATTCTGCCCAAAATACTGCCTAGCTTTCCCATGTGTCCAATTTGTTATTTCAGTTAGTATAATGCTATAGTCTGTACATCTCCTTTATCAATTTTAATTTCTCTCAGCCTTAGATGAAAATAAGAAATTATAACGTGTACTGTTCTTGGATCGTTTGCTATTTATGTTGCACTATGCCTTTACACCCATGGAATGGTGATCATCCTTAATAGCCTCCCTCAATAATGGATTTCAGTTTCTATTCATATCCACTTACTCCAGAGAGTTGTCAAGCCATCTAGCACAGTAATTATGGCTGCTGGCCATCATTTAAAAGGTGTCTTAAAATAACCTCATCATCGACAGACAGCAGATTATTTGAGTATGTATGTATGTATGTTCCGGTGATATTCATATTTTGGAGAGTTGGATGACATTTCTGTCTGTCTGTCTGTCTAGCTGCTGTCCAGTAAATTAGCTACAAAGATCGAAATGACCAGCTGCGCCATCTGCTGGTGTATCTAAATCAGTAGAGAGGACAGTCAAAGACATGAATATAAGCTAACTGAAATCCCCGATCACACTTGTAGAAGATGTCATGGCGACGTTGGCTGGCTAAACTCAAAACGGTCGTCTCGCACTGAACTGCGCATGTGCAAGCCATCAAATCAAAGGCACTCCGATATAAAGTTGTTTTTGACGAAAATTAAAACGTGGCAGTTTGTCATTTTCACGAGGTTAGAGTACTAACATATTCAACTACTGAAGACATTGGCTCGAATCTAGGTTGTGCCTTTCAATTTTGAGAAAAGTAACAACTAAGCAATAATTGTTCACTTCTCTCATTGACTTCTCAAACTCCAAACCCCGGCCTGGTCTATTTGGTCTGTTTCGCAAGCGTTCCCGAAAGTCTCGCGATGTTGCGCCTCTGGGGTTAGAAACTCTGTGCTCAACAGGTGTGGTCTCATCAAAGTTTATAATTTCAAAATGAAAATGGCCTCCATAACAACCACAGAGCTTTTTGATACACAACTCCTGGTAATAACGTTTTATTGTCCTTTACATTTATTTAAATTGTTGTAAGTAGCAAGCAAACGATACTCAACACACTATTATTTGTACTTTGGGTAAAATCGGTACAATCTGATAAGCTTCTTCGCTAAGAACAAAGGAAACCAAAATAGCTAACCAGCTAGCCTGGGGCCTGTTGCACAAAACTAGGATAAGGGATTAAGCCAGGATATCTTGGTGATCCTGGCTCAATTGATCCGTAATCCGGTTGCACTAAAGATGGATAGGGGGCAGGAGGATATGTTATGGTATAAATTACCATGGAGATTTATTCTGTGGAGCTAGCCTGCTCCAGACCAGGCTAAATTCCAGGATCTATTTAATCTCATCCCTAATGTCAGTCAGCAGTCACCACAAATGGAAACCAATAGTTATTTCACTGCTCACTATACATTGTTATCACATATAACTAGACCCACTGTCATTATTTAAACGTTTGTGATCATTAATTTCAATGATTTTGGATAAAAAAAGATTTTTAGATGATGTTGCTATCATTAGATAATTTACAGTTTCCCATAGACTATAAGGCTATATATAAAATGATAGAATATTAGGGCCACAGAGGGGAAAAAAACACAAGTCATAATATTGTAACCAGTTGTTTTAAAGGAGGACAGTTGTTAAAATGACAGATGTGGGGCATTTCGTGAAATTGTACTTCAGTATGGTTTCATAAACAAAGACATGCTGATGTGCCAGAATATTAAGTATCACATTGTCATAAGTATCAAAACTGTAAAAACAATATGTAGCTTTTCTGCAGAAAGAACCAGCCTCATAAATTTATGACTTTATCCTTTTTCTTCAGTGTGGCCCTAGTACTCTGTCATATAAACAAATACACATTCCATATGAATATAAAAACACAATGTGTAACATTATGTTCCTTTATTGAATAAGGACAAAACAAAGCAGGTAAACCATCAGCTCCTTTCGAAACTGAAGTCACAGTGACTCTACAAGATGGAAAGCACAGAATCCAAGCATATTATACAAAATGATACATACACATTCAAAGGTCTGTATATAACACACCCTGCATGTCTGCACACTAAAATAAATGCAGGACAAATCCATACACATCAACTGAACAGACAAATGAATGGATGCAGTAGCCTCCCTGCAGCCTTGTATTACACACAGTATACCGCACAAACATCATAAGAGGCCAAATTCGTAAAAAAACGAACCCAAAAAAACCCAAATTCCTCTGCCACCGCAGGACATATTTAACCAAAATTGAAAGCACACATACTAACTAAAATAATTCAACACATATTGGTCCCTCAGCAGCCGACCACTGTCGTCATCAGGGAAGATTGCCGGATTGTCCCAGTCCATGGCTGGTGGCACTCTGGGGGCCCTCTCCTTCCTCAGGCAGGCCACATTGTGGAGGACAGCACAAGCCACAGTAATATCACATGCCCTAACAGGGCTGACCCTTAATTTGTGAAGGCAGTGAAAGCGTGCCTTCAGGAGGCCAAAGGTCATTTCAACTCTGGCCCTGGTCCTGGCATGGGCATGGTTGTAGGCCTGCTGTGCTTCCTGGGGGTCTGTGAAAGGTGTCAGGAGAAAAGGCTGGCAGCCATACCCCCTGTCTCCCAGCAACACACCAGAGAATTCACCTGTCAACACAAAATCTCATCATTACTACCTCATAAACACAGTGATATTCTTGACACAGCCATGATGGTTATAAATAGGGGTTGTGTGGCTTACCTTGTGATAGGCACTGATAGATTTCAGAGGCCCGAAAGATTCTGGAGTCATGGACTGAGCCAGGCCATTTTGCCACAACATTGCTGATCACACAGTCAGCATTGCAGACCATCTGAAATCATAAGATGAGGAATATTACACCAATCAATGCACATCACTGGCAATGCAGAGTGTTCGTCAATGGACAATATCAAAAAGTTATGTTCACCTGAACATTAATGCTGTGAAAGGATTTCCTATTCACAAAATCGGCCTCATGGGCACCTGAGGGGGCTTTTATCCTTATGTGTGTGCAGTCCACTGCACCAATGACATTGGGGAAACCTGTCACACAAAGTAATGAGTATCCTACTATGTGTTAACAGTTGTCCTGTAATTTGTAGATCCTCTTACCTGCAATCCTATAGAACTCCTCTTTGATGTCACAGAGTCTTCTGTGGCCAGGGAAGGAGATGAAGACATCTGCTAATGCTTTGATAGCCAGACACACACTCCTTATTGTGCGGCAAATTGTGGCCTTGTTCAGCTGTTCTGCATCCCCCACTGAGTACAGGAAGGCTCCACTAGCAAAAAAGCGCAAGGCCACACAAACCATTTGCTCCACACTCAGTGCATGGCTCCGTGCAGTGCGGTGCTTAATCCTGGGACCCAGTAGTCTGCATAGATACCTGATGCCATCTGCAGAAAACCTGTATCTTTCATATAGATGGTCATCAGGGAAGGCCAGTGGGTCCAACCGGTCCCTGAAGACCCTTTCTCGCCTGAAGGCTCTCCTCAGCACAAGTGCTTCTTCATCCACCACATCTCGCACGAATGGGCATGCCATTGTCAGAGCAGAAAGGAACACACAATTTTGGGCCTTCATATAGGCTAGTGGCCACACCTGGTGCTGGGGGGGTGGGCAAAAGAGGGCGATGCCTTATAACGATGACTTGGTTGTACTGATTGCTGGGAAAATAAAAAAAACCTTAGAAAGATGCCACCGTCCTGTGTGCTCACAATAAGAGCTCATATGTCATGGCTCACTTGACTTTACGAGAATATACCTAATTTTTATTTTGAGCTGTGTCATCTTCTTGGAGCTGGGGGAGGAAAGAAAAATAATGATTAATACATTTGTGTTACAGTTAGCATACAGTGTACATTGAAGGCATATCTCACCTCCCTCTCAAGTTTTTTTATTTCAAGGTCCAGTTTCCTAATTGTCCTCTTTTTTATTTCGGACTCCAGTGTAAGATTTTCCATCTTTTTCTTCTTGTACTGAATGTCTATGTCTGCCAGTTCTATTTGGCGCCGGAGGTGGTTGCCATACAACTTTCTGATAGCTTGTGAGCTCTGTGAACACAATACAATTAGCGCAGCTGGAATTTGGCAGGATGTGGTGTCCTTTTATTAATACGCACTATGTTGCCAGGCTGGTTTTCCCACTGTATAGCATCTGGGTCCTGTAAAAGAAATTAGATTTTTTGATTTTGATGAGGACTCCTCACCATTGTAGAGTAAATAGTACTTTCACAGTCTTAACATGATACCTCATGCCTTCTGGAATCCAGAGAGATGGTCTCCTCCTCATCATCGTCTCCATCATGTGCTGTTGCTGCTGCACTGGGGCCTTCACCCTATCACATTTAATCGGATTCATATTGAAGCTAGTAGACAAGACATGCCAGGCCTACAGTATGCCTTTGATGGAGTACTCACTGGATCAGCATCGTCTGGTGCTTGTGCTGGTGGCTCTAACAGGAACACAGTGCTGCCAGACACTGCAAGGCAATAGGTAAACCAAAGTCAGACAGTCCAAATTGATTCAATATGAATGTGGTTGTATCCCATGTAGAGATGGAAGGACATACCTTGAATGAAGCGGGTGGCATCTTGGGAGGAACCTATGCTCGTCTCTTTCCCCCCAGGGATCCCCTCTAAGACGGGCCTGCCTTTATTTAGCTCCAAGGCCATGTCCTCTGCTGGGGTAAGGTCAGCCTTTGGTGACCCACCACCCGTGCCTTGTCTGTGGGTATTCTTTTTCACTGCTAAAACAGTACAGACAATGTGTGAGCAGGCACCTTCTGGGTACAATATATGCTTGTGCTTTGTTAAATATTAGTCAGGGACCATACCATTCTGCAGAATGTTCTTGTATTTGATTTTGACCTGCTGCCATGTCCGTTTTGGCCCGTTCATGTTTAATCTACACACACACACACACACACACACACACACATTTAATGGAGTCACACTGCAAAAAATTACTTGGTATTTTTGTCTTGTTTTCAGTAAAAATATCAAAAAATTTATCATAGCTTTATACAGTGTGATGGAGTTACTTTACACAATTTCACTCATATCTGCAGTGCATTTCAATTAAAAATTTAACCGTTTCATAATTACAGTACAACTGCATTTTTGGAGATGTGAATTAAATATTTGAATTGTAATTGTGATGTTTCAGCGGAGCGGTGAGTGTGTAATTGTGCACTACTTACGCATTCAGGCGGTCTGCAATACTTTGCCACGCTTTTTCTCTTTGCTTTATCACTGTGGCGGTGTTGCCTTTCTTCTTAATTATATCTTTTACCTCCTCGTATGCCTCCATGAGGATTTGTGCTTCCGACGGGGAAAAGTACGCGGCTCTAGTTGCCATGGTAAATCAGTTAATCTGTGATCTGTGGCGGGGTCTATTTGAGTGAGCCGTGAGCGCGCACCTATCCAGGATTGGTTTCACCTGGCTTAATGAATCCGTGTCTGCTCATCCTGGCTTGGTCTTTGTGCAACCAATTAAGCCTGGACGCACATGTTTTGGCTTCATTGAGCTCAGCTGAGTCATTTATCCCGGATGTCTTAATTCTACTTTTGTGCAACAGGCCCCAGGTTGCCAACAACAAACACAGGAAGTATATGTTGTGTGTATGCTATGCTAGCTAAATGTAACTTACCTTGCTTTCTAACGTACTCCACTTTAAACATGACATACACGTTTGTTTTACTCTGTGTTGCTGTCCGACAACTCTTTTGGGATATTTCTGCCAACTCATATAGCCCAGACTAGAGACAGTAAATAATGACCACCGTAGGAGTTGTCAGACAACACAAACAGACCTGAGCCCAGGCTATAATATTAGGTATTGCATTTTCTAATGACAGCAAACGTATTGGCTGACTGCTTGTTAGACCTGGCTCATACTAGCTTTGTTTTCTCAAAAGGAAGGTGGCTTCATCACAGGTACTCACCACAACAATGCACAACGACGTTTGGAAGATAGAGTTTCCCAACAAAAGACAGAGTTTCTCAGAAACGCAGAGAAGCTTAGAAAACAGTAAGTTCCTCGTATTAATATGCAGGGGAATTTAGATTATACATGCACATATATTGTATTGAGACTCATTTTCTGTTGTTCTTAAAACAGGATTGAGAAACTTGAGAAAGAGAAGACGTTGAATAAACAAAACAGGAAGAATGGTCTTTCAGATGAATTTGGAGTATTGGAAGAGTTTGATAAAGGACTTCAGGATGATCGAAATACTGAGCGTGTGTATTTTTGTTGTTGTAGTACTCTTTTGTATGGCACTTTAGTTTTTACAGACTAAAACATAATTTGAACATCCTTAATTATCACATTGTTCATGTTCTTTGTCCCTCAGATATGAATGTGCAAAAGCATCTGGTGAAAATCCATAATGGTGTAAATAGATTTCAGATGCAGCTGACTGATGTGAAGCCTACCCCTGAGTGTAAGTCATATGCTGGTTGATGGTTAAACATGTGCACGGAAACAGTACAGATTGGGGAGTCATGACATTCAGTCATTAACATGTTTTCATGAAGCCATTTCAATTTGATACCCACTTCACCTACCTTTTATACAGGCTGTTATACTTGAACTACTTAGAAATGCTGTTTTGTTTTTTAGTCATTGAGAAACTGAAAGAAATAATGACAGAAGTTGAAAATTCAATCAACACTTACAAGGAGGACCAACGTCAAAGGTATTGTAACAGCTGTCATGTAATGCATGTTTCAAAATGACTTGATTATAGTTTAGACTGAGATTAACTGCCTCTTTCTTATTCTTTTTAGTTTTGAGGAGCTATTGAAAGAGGAAAGGACATGCAGCCAGGAGATAAGTGCTTTTGAAAAGAAGATTGAGACTTGGTCTTTGGCTGTAAAAACAGACCCAAAGTTGCCCCCTGCTCCCTCAGCCAAGGTGTGTCTGGCCAAAGCCCTAGAGGAGGACCTCCCACCAGAGGTGACCGCACTAGAGAGGTTCCTACAGCAAACTGGAGGGAAGCAAGGAGGCTGGGACCAGTATGACCATCAGAGCTTTCTGAAGGTGTGGACCAAGCACAATGGCAAACCAGCCTATAGAAAAGAGGCTTTGCTCTACCTGCCAGGCAAAACTCCAGAAGACATTGAACAGCACGAAGACTGGTATCTTGAGCTCCTGTACCTCCAGGAGAAGAAGAAAGAGGTAGACTGGGCTTCACTTTGTAGGCAATGTAATGAGTTTCCAAAGTCACTTTCAACTGTGGGTGGGTAGAACAGTACCTGACAATTACAGAATTTATCTGCCGCCATTTATGAGCTCTGGAATGTCTCAGCCAGCTATTTGTTTTGAGCTGTTAAATCGCACTAATATACTTGCAATATTAGTTTTATCTTCTTAATGTTTAGCACATTTTCACTATCCATGCACCAGGCCATTCACCGGTGGAAGGCTGAGAGACAGCAGGAGAGGGCGACAAGGCTGCAGCACCAGAATGAGCTGGAGAGCACTGCCAGGAGGGAGAGGGAGGTGCAGGCTGAGACCCAGCAGCGTAGGGCCGAGGAGGAGAGGAGGGAGGCGGCGACTCGCCTGGATGGGTGGAAAAGGCAGCGCAGGCTGCGCCTGGAGCAGGAGGAGGAGCAGAGGCTCACTGAGGAGATCCTGCAGGGGAGACAAGCCAAGGAGGAGCGCAGGAGACAGCTGGAGGTGAAGCTGGTTCTGGAGGCCCACATTCGGCAGAAAAAGGAGGAAGAAGAACTTTTGAACATGCAGAAGGAGGAACAGGAACAGGCAGAAATGGAGGAGAAGAAGAGACTGGCAGGCTACGGCATCAAACGCTTTCAGGAAAGGGTACGTGGAGGATCATTATTTTCCAATGGTACTACTCAAGGTATTTTGTATATACAGTGCATTCGGAAAGTATTCAGACCCCTTAACTTTTTCCACATTTTGTTACGTTACAGCCTTTCTAAAATGGATTTTAAAAAACAACATCATCAATCTACACACAATACTCCATAATGACAAAGCAAAAACAGGTTTTTAGAAACAGAAATACCTTATTTACATAAGTATTCAGACCCTCGAAATTGAGCTCAGGTGCATCCTGTTTCTATTGATCATCCTTGAGATGTTTCTACAACTTCATTGGAGTCCACCTGTGGTAAATTCAATTGATTGGACATGAGTTGACAGTGCATGTCAGAGCAAAAACCAAGCCATGAGGTCGAAGGAATTGTCCGTAGAGCTCCGAGACAGGATTGTGTCGAGGCACAGATCTGGGGAAGGGTACCAAAAAGTGTCTGCAGCATTGAAGGTCCCCAAGAACACAGTGGCCTCCATGATTCTTAAATGGAAGAAGTTTGGACCCACCAAGACTCTTCCTAGAGCTGGCCGCCCGGCCAAACTGAGCAATCAGGGGAGAAGGGCCTTGGTCAGGGAGGTGACCAGGAACCGGATGGTCACTCTGACAGAGCTCCAGAGTTCCTCTGTGGAGATGGGAGAACCTTCCAGAAGGACAACCATCTTTGCAGCACTCCACCAATAAGGCCTTTATGGTAGAGTGGCCAGACGGAAGCCACTCCTCAGTAAAAGGCACATGACAGCCCGCTTGGAGTTTGCCAAAACGCACCTAAAGGACTCTCAGACCATGAGAAACAAGATTCTCTGGTCTGATGAAACCAAGATTGAACTCTTTGGCCTGAGTGCCAAGCGTCACATATGGAGGAAAACTGGCGCCATCCCTATGGTGAAGCATGGTGGTGGCAGCATCATGCTGTGGGGATGTTTTTCAGCGGCAGGGACTGGGAGACTAGTCAGGATTGAGGGAAAAATGAACGGAGCAAAGTATAGAGAGATCCTTGATGAAAAACCTGCTCCAGAGTGCTCAGGACCTCAGACTGGGGCCAAGGTTCACCTTCCAACATGACTACGACCCTAAACACACAGCCAAGACAATGCAGGAGTGGCTTCGGGACAAGTCTCTGAATGTCCTTGAGTGGCCCAGCCAGAGCCCGGACTTGAACCCGATCGAACATCTCTGGAGAGACCTGAAAATAGCTGTACAGCGACGCTCCCCATCCAACCTGACAGAGCTTGAGAGGCTCTGCAGAGAAGAAACTCCCAAATACAGGTGTGCCAAGCTTGTAGCGTCATACCCAAGAAGACTAGAGGCTGTAATCGCTGCCAAAGGTGCTTCAACAAAGTACTGAGTAAAGGCTCTGAATACTTATGTAAATGTATTATGGGGTGGAGGAAAGTGAAATTATAGTGGTTAACCTACTTATCTGCAGGACTTCCAGAAGTTGGAGACAAAAGTGCAGGAGCGACGGGAGAAGGAAAAGCAGCATCTGGATAGACAGAAGAGACTGGCTAAGCTGAAGGAGAAGGTAGGACCTTACACAGCAGCAGGCACTGATTCCATTGTACACATAATGTATGCCATCAATAATGGTCTGCTATTCATTTGATCTCATTAGGCAGAGGCTCATATCAGCAGAGACCCTTCCAGACTCTGCAAACCCACCAAAGGATGGGAGGAACGCACCAAAGAGATTGGACCCACCGGGGGCGGACCTGTATTACAGATGTTTCATAGGTGAATTAGCCCCAAACATTCCCAAATCACCCATCTTTATCTGTAACTAATCTATGATCATCATCATTTTCTTACAGGGCTGTCCCAAGCTGGAGACAAGGCTTATGAGGATGTCTGACTGGAACCAATATTTACTTTGCTAATTTGTTTTTATTGATCATGCAAAATTCATGTCTCAGTGTGGTTATTTGTCATTTCAACACACTTGTATCCTTGCTTTGTGTAATTTCCTATTTTATACAATAAATGATCACATTTCTTATGATCTGAATTAAAACATGAATATTTTTATTTAACCTGTATTTAACTAGGCAAGTCAGTTAAGAACAAATTCTTATTTACAATGGTCTATTTACGTGGTCCTCTGTAGCTCAATTGGTAGAGCATGGCGCTTGTAACGCCAGGGTAGTGGGTTCGATCCCCGGGACCACCCATACGTAAAAATGTATGCACACATGACTGTAAGTCGCTTTGGATAAAAGCTTCTGCTAAAATGGCATATTATTATTATATTACAATGACAGCCTACACCGGCCAAACTCGGACGACGCTGGGCCAAATGTGCGCCGACCTATAGGACTCCCAATTACAGCCGGTTGTGATACAGCCTGGAATTGAATCAAGGGGTCTGTAGTGACGCCTCAAGCACTGAGATGCAGTGCCTTAGACCGCTGCGTCACTCGGGAGCCCAATAACTGTCGGCCTACACTTATTTGTCTTGTTATTAATGTGAAATGTAATATTATTATAGAAGTGCATTCGACAGTCAACATTTTACATTCTTCAAATGAAATTTATCCTCCAGTGTACCAAAATGAATGAAAATTGGGACGCAAAAAAATGGGAAACTGAGCAAAGTTGGGTTGGAAAAAGGTTGAGCTCTGCTGGAGTCCCCACTTATCTTGTGCGGTTTATTGAGGATGACCACCTGGATTAAATACCAAACTTGAGAAACCGTTTCAGATATAAACTGGTGGAAGAGGTGGTGGGTAAAGTGAAGGCTGTGAGGATCACGAGAAGTGGGCTTGGAACGCCTCTCAGGGAGAGGGCCAAGATGGCGTGTACGCCTGAATGGTTGTTGGACTTGGAGATGGAGTCAGAGGAACCCATAGTAAGAAGGTAGGCAGGAAAAAAAGGTTGAAAGTGCAACATATTAAGATTAAATATGGTGTGCTGCAGAAGGAAATTTAAAATGACGAGGGTGAATTAACTGCGGCGACAGGTGCGGTGGAGACTGCCGAGTTTGAGCCTCGTCTCGTTCGTGATAAAGCTGATTTTGTCCCAGTTGAAGGGAGATTTTTGGAGATAATGGATCGTTGCCTTCTGGCTGATCCATATGTGGTGTCAGGTGGGATGTAGAAGAGGTTGGGGGAATGTTGGGTCAGTGAAAGTGTCTCGAAGTGGAATTGTGTTGTTTGTTTGCGTTTCTGCTGTCCAGAGGGAGCTTGCGCGCCGCACCACACAACTTGGGTCAAGAACTGTGACTTGCTTTCCTCTCCGGAGCAGGGCGCCATTGAAAGGAGCGATAACGGGTGTGCCATTAAGTGTTGAGGATTAACTGAAATGGAAGATTCCCGGTGTCTGTGATGCTTGCCGTTTGTGTGCGACGCAGACCCGGGTGGAGGGCATGGTGAAACAGAGAAGACACTGTCTGTATTACTGCGTTGTAATGCAGAGTCTTAAAAGGATGAAGTAAAGTTAGGTTGTGTCAGTTATCCCATGAGAGCTTTTATCCCGAAGCGATTAACATGTGTTAGGTGTCAAGCTTATGGTCATGTGGCAGCCATGTAGGAGGGAGATTCCTAGATGTGAGAAGAGTGCAAGAGGACATGAGACAAAGGAATGTGTAGTATTGGTGGAAAAAGTTTTGTGTGTAAACTGTAGGGGTGCTGGAGATCAGAAGTGTCCAGTGAGAGAAAGGCAGGTTGAGGTTGCCAGATCAGAGTAGTGCAGAAGGTGTCATATGCTGAGGGAGTGAAGAGAGTAGTAGAGGAAGATGGGTCCAGGGTGTGGCATCCTGAGAGGATCTCTGTGAGTAGACCAATAGAGAATGATAAGAATAATGTGTGCTTCAGTAAAGTAGTTTTTTTGGTGTTCATGGCCATGGTTGTCAACTGTACTGCTGGAATGGAACCTAACAGAGGATAGACATTGTGGTGGTAGCTGCAGAGAAGTACTGTGGTGTCACAGGAGGTTGGTGGCGCCTTAATTGGGGAGGACGGGCTCATGGTAATGGCTGGAATAGGTGGAATGGTATAAAATACATCAAACACATGGTTTGATGCCATTCCATTTGTTTTGAGTGATAGTGTCCCGTCCTCCCAGGCGGCTGGGCTGGCTTAGGATCAGATAGGGCCGAAGTAGTGGAATAGTGGTGAGGTTTTTAATGGGTGTAGGGTTTGTTGGTCTGGCAATTTTTTCACCAAGTGTAATGAATTTATACTACAAAATAGTAAATACAGGAGGTGGTGGAATGCACCTATAACATTTGTTTGCAAACCGCCATAATACCAAAGAAGAAGAAGAAGTAGTAGAAGTAGACTTGTGTTGAGGAAAATAAGGCGCGCGTGCTGAGTCTCACCCATTTAGAGAAATATGATGTGTTGTGCGTTGCTCTTCGGAGCAGGGCACTTGTAAAGGGGGTAATATCTGGCGTCTTGTGGGACGTTGATGTTGGACAAATTAAGAATATCCCAGGAGTGGTTGATGCACATCGGATGAATCGTGTGGTGAATGGAGTGAACGTAAAGAGTATTTTTCTGTTTTTTTGATACAGAGTCCCTCCCTGCCCAGGTGAAGTTGGGGTATGTGAATCATCATGTCGGAGCGTTCGTCCCAAGACCGATGCAGTGTAATCATCACTGTATGGCTTTTGGACATGCCAAGTGTCTGTAGAAGAGAAAAACTGAGATGTGGCAGTTGTGGAAAATAAGATTGTTGTATGGATGAAGAACATGTGAAGTGTTGCAATTGTGGTGGGAACCATGAAGCTACATCTTTGAAATGCTCGAAGAGGACGATAGAGAATGAGGGTGCTGTCCAGAGCATTTCATATGTAGAGGCTGTCAAAAGGGTTGAGGGAATGAAGTGCCCTCCTGAAGACTCCACGGTGTTGGATAGGCCTTCACTGTAGGCTGCAGAGTTTGCCTCTCTTCAGCATGATCAAAAAAAAAAAAAAAAAATGATCCAGATACTGTATGTTGCATGTTAAGAAGGTGGACTTTGTGGCTTTAATGGCAATGGTGATTAACAGCACTGCCGGAGTGGAGAAGAATCCAGTAAAATTGCTGTCATTGTGTCTGCGGCAATGAGCTATAACAAGAACGGGATCTGCGGCAGAACGGTTCCTGGGATTGAAAGATTTTTCAGTGTTGGAGTTATATGGAGTGCTGTCATGAGCAGTGCCACCCTCTCAGGCCTCACAGCCTGAGAAGGGAGATATGGCATTTTTTATTAATTATCTTTTATTTGTTAAGTTTCTGTTTGTGTGGAATAAGGCCCCAACCCCCCTTTTGTACCTGTATGGAGTTTCCTTTTTTCGCCGGTAATGCACCATAAACGTTGGATGCCAACCGCCGTTAAACCCCAACAAAGAAGGTTGCAAAGCTTGTTTATACGGAAGTTGTTTCAAACTCAAAGATCCAAGATGGCATAGCAGTGCGGTCGTGTTTTCTGTAGTGTCCTTATGTAAATAGCCAGTTTTTTGTTTTTTTGTCTTTTTCGTATATATTTCTCAATCTGACTTTCCATCCTTTAACTAAATATACTTTCCTGCAACCCGCCTCACCCAATGTGGAACGGATTCTGTTGTTTCTTCATAAATGTTTATCCAGAACCTCTGGCTGAAACTAGCCAGCTAGCCAGCTAACTAGCTACTTGCTATTAGCCACCGTTAGCGGTCTTCACCATTGTCCGTGGCCGTGACCTGCACTACCTACCAGCCATTCAGCTCTAGCCTGGACTATTATTCGGCCAGTCTGCACTGTCTGCACAGCGCGTTATCGACCCTGAACATATCGGTTTTTCTGCCGGAATCACTGAATCACTGGACCTTTAACACCGGATTCATCGCTACTAGCTAGCTGCAACCAAATGGACGTTTGCGGTTGGCTAATCAGCCCTGAGTTAGCCTTGAGCCAGGCCCATCTCCCGGCTATCTACCTCTCTGTCAACCGGACGGGACCTCCTAGTGTTGACACGGAGCCCCGCCGATCCAACACAACTGGTCTGCCGACGAAATCGTCTGATGTGGTTACAACAGGCTTCCCGTTACGACGTTGACCACGAAGATCCATCTGCTAGCCCCGGCCCGCTAGCACACGCTAGCCGTGGCCTCTTGCTCGGTAGTGCTATAGCAGCCCCCGAACTACCTCCGAACTATCCTATTGCTGTTCACCGGACCTTATGATAACTCAGCTATACAGCTGATGCCTGCTGGACTGTTCCTTTTTATGGTACCGCATCCTGTTTATGTTTAGCCTCAGCCCAAACTTTGTCGCCATTACCAGCTGTTGTCTTAGCTCTCTCGAATTACACCTGTGATTGCTTTATGCCTCTCTCCCATGTCAATATGCCTTGCTTATTGCTGTTTCGGTTATTTCTTATTGTACTATTTCACTGTAGATCCCCCAGCCCAGCTAAACCTGCCTTAGATAGCTCCTTTGTCCCACCCCCCATACACGCGGAGACCGACTCAATCGGTGCATCCAGTGATGCTATCTCTTTCATCGTTACTCAACGCTTAGGTTTACCTCCACTGTACTCATATCCTTCCATATCCTTTTCTGTACATAATGCCCTGAATCTATTCTACAATGCCCGGAAACCTGCCCCTTTTTTTCTCTGTACCCAACGCACTAGAAGACCAGTACTTAAAGCCTTTAGCCATATCCTTATTCTACTCCTCCTATGTTCCTCTGGTGATGTAGAGGTTAACCCAGGCCCTGTAGCCCCCAGTATCACTCCTACTCCCCAGGCGTTATCATTTGTTGACTTCTGTAATCGTAAATGCCTTGGTTTCTTGCACGTTAACATCTGAAGCCTCCTCCCTAAGTTTGAGTTATTCACTGCGTTAGCACACTCCGCCAACCCTGATGTTCTAGCAGTGTCTGAATCCTGGCTTAGGAAGGCCACCAAAAATTCAGAAATGTCCATCCCCAACTACAACATTTTCCGTCTCGATAGAACTGCCAAAGGGGGTGGGGTTAGCCTGCAGAGCTCTATCGTACTATCCAGGTCTGTGCCCAAACAGTT